TGGGGGAGCAGGCGCGCGCAGCACCGCAGGGGCCGCCCGGTGCACCAGGCAGCCCGCCGGCACAGCCCGGGAGGGCACGGCTTGCGAGCATGACTGCGACACGCAACCCCGACCCAGGAGGAAGAGGTCGGGCGTGTTCTCCCGAAGAAAGGGGAGGAAGGAGGCAGAGAAACGGGACACAATACCGGACAGAAAGGCGAGGAAGCCAAGATAAATGATTCGCTGCATCGGCAAAACAGAACAAGCCCTAAGCCTTCTGTTCTTAAAGGCTTCCACTTGTGAAATACATTTCACATTTGCCAGATGAACGGCAGAGAATAGTTGCCCCTTATAGCACCTGTCTGGAAAGTGTCCTGAGTACTGCCAAGTCCTCACACTGCTGCAGGGCTGAGGCCCCTGCTGCCACAGGAGACTACAGAGAGACCCGAGTCCAACCATTATCCATTTTTTTAGGTGAATTTTTCTCTCCCCAAACCTCATCCAGGCTTTTTTTTTTTTTTTTTAACATCCGGCTCAATCTAAACGTCAGGTTATCATCCTCAGCAGAATGCTTTTGGTATCACTGCACAGGTACTCATATCCCTACGTGGGTATCTCCAGCCAAGGGTGGGCTCTGCATAGAATTATCTAACCTCACAACAGATTGCTTTAAAAGGGGATGCTCAGAGGTTCAAAAACAAGGCACATCTGTTGTTTTCCCTCTCGCCCCCATTTCTGTAGTGACTATTGGACTGCTGAGCTATTGAGTAGAAGGGGTGGGAGAGACATCTCTGGCTGTGTTCGTAAAAAAAGGAGCAATGGTCCTAGCCCTTATCTTCAGGGCTTCCCTCTTAGGTTGCTCTAGGCTGCGTGTTTCAGGCTTGCTCCGAGGTGCGTTATGGATTCCACCCCAGGGGCCAAGCGCCCCAACTCCAGCGATTACAACAATCACTTTTGTGGAGTTTAAATCCTTTTTTGGCTCGGACCCTTTAAATCTGGAAATGAACTCAAGAAATTTCTGTTTAAAATGTACTGTTTGGGAGAGGAAGTTTTAAGCCTGTGAAAAGAGTTTGAAATGAGGCGTCTTTTCAGTTATTAAAGTGCTGAACTCGAAACTCAGTCTTTCATAGCTCTGTAAGCGCTATCAACAGGAATATTTAAAACCAGATGACCGAAACACAAGATTTAATAGAGCAGAATTTGGCAATAAGATTTTACAATATTTTACAGAATTCATAGTTTTGCTTTGTGCATTAACCAACTGAAACGTGGCTCTAGCCATTACCAACCTGAATTATTAAACAACAATGCAAGTGTAGTGTCCTTTATACAAATTACTTTAATCCATTAGCCCCTCTTTGATCATCCTCTCACTGTTACTCAAAGGCACACACTTCCACACTCACGCAGTTCAAAAATGCTAAAGACGGATGGTGCCTAGTTTTACACAGTTATTTCATTTTCCCTTTTGGCTTGCTGCAGAAATGAATTACAGTAACTAGCTCTGATATTCAATACAGTTATATCAACACACTTCTTTTGTGAAAACTCAATCCTCCCACTGTGCTCATTGGGCACCGGTGCCTGTATTGACAAGCATTTAAGTGCTTGGGCTTTGCTGGAAGGAATAGAAATGCAAATTCAAAACACTCACTCCGCTTTCTAAGCATGATAAAAGCTTTGGCTGGCAGTTTTTTTCCTTCTGGTTCCTCTAGGAGCAGCAAGTGATGGAAACAGTACATTCATCTTGTAAAGGGAATGAACTGTGGGTCACTGTCAACAGTTCCTTCTGCTGCACAACAGCTACAAACACTATTTTCTTTGCATAGTATTTTCAGTTTGAATTGTGCATAGACTACACCATATGCATAGTCCAAGTGGTTTAAGGTTAAGCTTCTCCAGGCTCTGCTCTACTGTTGAGTATTAAATCCTAAAGGATATTCAGAATTTTTTATGAAAATTAAGTATTGCTTAAAACAGATGACAAAAGCCTACTTACTTTTCCTTTTCTTTCATGGGGTGCTGGTAAATTAGTGGAAAAGACGACTACATGCTGTCTGTGGTATTCTATAAAAGACACGACGGAGCAAGCACGCAGATAGGTTAAAGGTTTCAACCTTTGGACTTCATAAAAAAAAAGGTTTTGAAGTCGACTCAGCTTGATCTAAGACAGCTATGTCGAGAGGAACCAGAACTTTGAAAAAAACAGATGCGTTTCTTTCCCTTCAAAGAACCCACTTTGGCTGCCTTAAAGTCTGATCTCAGCCAAATCACTTCCGGTTCAAAAAATGTGTGCGTCAGGGCAGTTAATTCTCAGCAAGGGTGCCAGGGCACCCCAGAGTGCTGAGACCCTTTCCAGGGTGCCACGCAAGATTAGCATTGTTGTGTGTGCTACACATGAGTCACAAGATAAACTCAAGAAATTTCAAATAGGAATCCACAGTGTCAAAGCCATACTGACCTGTTGTGGTCTTCCTGAGTTCTTTGCAGTAGAAGACTTGCTCTAGTATTTTTCTGTAGAAAAAACAAATAGTGAAAAATAAACTGTTTTGGAGTTCCTGGCATGGGTAGGCCATGGGGCTGCTCTTGCTGCCATATTGGAGACTCTGCCAGGGTGGAGGGAAGTTCTGGTGCCCCTCCTGACATGGCGCCCAGGGCAGATGCCCTTCTCACCTGCTCCTAATTATGCTACTGTGTACAGGCCTTACCACCGTCAGGCCCTTGAATTTTGCTATTAATTTTAAAGAAAAATATTCATAATATAAAGTAGCAATTGAAAATGAAATAAATCTTTAAGAGCTTACAAGTCTGATCATATATTGATCATCTTTTATATTATCATTAGACTCCTCAGTGGACATCAGGTCATTATCTAAAAAATAGTACTCTAACCTGTTGTCTCACAGGTCATCTCAGGACATACAATTTGGGGTCTCCTGGCTGTCTATATGTTCTTCTGCTTTCCTGCACACAGAAGGCATGCTGTTATCTTACAACTACTGCATGCAAAAACCCTAGGTTACACTCTGCTTCTTGTGACTTCACCTCTGCAGTAGACGGAAGATACGAATAAATCTGCTGGTATATTCCCTCCCCACCTTCTCATCAACTGTTCACAAGTATGAATAATGACAAAAATTTCCTGGGAGTAATTTGTTACCTAATGTACCTGAAAGAGAAAAATGCTTTGGCTTTAAGAAAGCTAGTTATTTACTGGTCAATGTGTTCCTGACAAAAGAAAACAGCTTTTAATCACTATGATAACTCATGAATGTTGCACTTATAAACCAACTGTAGAATATCAGCAATGACAGATATTAAGAACCAGCGATAATCAGAAACAGTACTGGAGACAGAAGTCTCCAAAACAGTAACTCTTCCAGGCACTAAAAGATTTTTTGGATCATGTAAAATGAGACCTCAATGCTTTCAGTTCCCGGTGAGGAGGCAGTATACAAACATGTCATTGTCAGACCATAAACTGAACCTTGCAACCGGTTGCATTGTTTTCCTTTGTTGTTGTAACACTTAAATGGGTATTTTCTGCCTCTGTGTATCTTCTACCAAGAAGCACAATGCATTTCATAAGGCTGCTTATAACAGACATAATTTAAAAAAATAAAGTGTTAGACCACAGTTGTTCCAAGAATGTAGAATTTAAAACCAGCAGGGACAGGCTCTCAAAACAGCTCCATGGCCATTTCAGCTCTGAGGCTAAGCATCATGTAAAAAAACCTGGCACTCAGGGACAGCTTTAAGTCGATTTTAGAGAGAATTCTAATTCTTCTGCCTAGCGTAAAGAAAAATACGGAGACACCGAAACAAGGCTAATCTCCGTTCTAGATCATTAAAATGGCCTCCACTGTTGTTTAGATAGCGTATTAATAACAAATGCCAGTCCAAATACATTAAGAAAATGATAGATACAAATCAGTCAATTTTATACTTAAAGAACAGTGGACTCCTAGTTGATCCTCCTAGCCTGAGAAATGCTACAGTAATTTAGGCCCCAAAATATAATTGAAAAGTTTTTCTATTACCTATTAGATTACCAATTCATAATATTAAAAATAAGTGTAACGTCAAACAATGTACATAACTTCAGATATTTCCTCCTGTATTTGCACACCATGAAGTACAGCATAAATGTACAGTTACATTTTTTTGAACCAGAAAGTGATAAAAGTAGTTTTCTGACCAACCTGTTGCTTAACACTCATGTCTGGCACTATGGTAGTGCATATCTTATGAATTAAGATCCAAAACTTTAGTGCATAGCCCTGAATAGCATAACTTATTTTGTTAGAAACCTATGCCTTAAATGTAAAGAAACCAGAAAATAGTTCATGCTTTAAAGGCTACAGAGGAGCATTTGCTTTCTAGCCCTAAGAGAAAAGTTCCTATTTTTTCCTGTCCTTCTAAGGATGATAATTAATCCATATAATAAAACTTCATTTTAATTAAATCACTACAGGTATGATCCAAAGCCCACTGAAATCAAAGGAAATATCTCAGTTGACTCCAGTGGTCTTGTGTCAGGCCCTGTGGGTGAATCTAGACAGGGGGTGGTGGCTGAAGTGGTGGGATTGCATAGAGAAAGCCAGGTGGAAGAAGGAACACCTGGAAGAAGCTGAGATAAATATCAAGCCCCTCCCACTTTCTGTTCTCAGAGTCGCTGCTGCCTTTACTGCTAGCAGCATCTTCCTGCTGGGACTCAGCAGGAGCAAGGGAGACAACACTGTGGATGCTTGCAAAGCAGGCTACACAGCAGTCCCACTGAGGAAGAGCAACTGCAGGTCCTGTGCAGCAATAGTGCAGGGCTGCCAGCTGGGTGTCACACACAATGAGAGACCCCTGGTGGTTTTACAGTAGTCTGTGGCAGCCCTGACTGAAATGTTCTGAAGAAGCTCTTCTTCTGGTATATAAAGAATCGAAAGTTCATTAGCAAAGTGGATGAACTTTAAGCCTACAAAGAAGCTGCGTATTGCACTTGCTCAGACATTGAACAGAAAAATAAGTTAAACTCATTGACCTGGAAGATGGCATAGAGTGCACCCTTCACAGGTCTGCAGATGACATCAAGCTTGGGCGAATAGTAGATACACTGGAGGGTAGGGCTAGGATCCAGAGTGACTTAGACAAGGATAATTTGGTCAAAAGGGATCTCGTGAGGTTCAACAAGGACAAGTGCAAAGTTCTGCACTTAGGATAGAACAATCCCATGTACTAATACAGGCCGGGGGCTGACTGGCTGGGATGCAAATCTGCAGAAAAAGGATCTGGGGGTTACAGTGGCCAATAAGCCGAATATGAGCCAGCAGTGTGCCCTAGTTGCTAAGAAAGCTAACAGCATACTGGGCTGCATTGGTAAGTGTATTGCCAGTAGGTCAAGAGAAGTGATTATTCCTCTATTCAGCACTGGTGAGGCCACATCTGGAGTACAGGTTTCCCTCACTTTATAAGGTACACGCGTTCCCGGAAAACTGCGCATAAATTGAATTTGCATAAAGGAAACCCAGTTTATAAAATAACAAATAGGGATACATTCTAGGGCTGTGTGAAATTTCAACGAGCAGTTTGTTTTGAAGCTCTTTCAACACATTTCAAGCGTGAAACAGTGAAATCTAAATGAAACAAAAGACTTTGAAACAGCTTTGAAAAGAAATGAGGGCACTCGAAACATTTCAAAAATTTTTAAACGTTCTGAGTTTCGAAGCAGCCTGGTGGCGGGAAGCAGGGGAGAGCCAGGCCTGTGCTCCAAGCAGCTCTGCCAGCCCCACAAAGCTCAGCTCAGTGGCGGGAAAGCCAGTGGCGGAGCTGCTCCAAGCCCCAGATCTGTGCATGGGTTGACAGGAGGCTGCTCCTGCTGCCTGGGACCAGTGACAGCACCAGTCTTCCCGTCGCTGGGCATGGGCTGCTCCCATCACCAGTCCCAGGCGGCAGCCTCCTGTCATCGCAAGCACAGATCTGGGGGCGCACACCCCCAGGAGGAGTCCGGCACAGCTCTGCAGGCCTCCCGGGGGTGTGAGCCCCCAGATCTGCACATGGGAAGACAGGAGGCTGCTGTTGCCAACAAGTGACATGAGTTTTGCTCTTTGCAGTTTGAGGTGCAGTTTCCCAGAAACCCCTGCACTTATCTCCTTGAAACTTGGCAGGCTTTGTGCCCTCAGAAGGGGCTACCATCCCTGCAATTTGCATCTGAATCAGGCAAGAAATGACAAAGTTATAGGCATTTTCAGGATTCCCCATTATAGCCTATATGGGCGAAACGTCAAAACGCATTGAAACAGCAAAAGAGTTTTGATGGAATGGAATGGAACTGTGCTTCGAAATGAAACAAAATGATGCAACAAACCACTGACCCTTTGAAACGGCAAAACAGAAGTCAAAATGAACCCTCCTGGGGTGTTTCGAGCAGCCCTAATATGTTCCCACAACAGTGAGGTAGGGAGGGAGGAAGTGAGGCTGGGCTGGGGCGGGGTGCAGTGAAGCCCAAGGGCTGCAGGCAGATGGCGTCAGCTGCTCCCAGGGCTGCAACAGGGAGCAAAGCAGGGGAAACTGTCAGTGGGTGCAGGGCTGGGGGCACAGCTCTTGCTGCCACGCACACCCTGGGAGGTACATGTCCTTGGATCTGCGCACAGGACGAGAGCAGGCTGCTGCTGTGGGCTAGGACTGGCAACAGCACCAGGGTCTTCCCGGTGCTTGGGGTGGGCGGCAGACTGCTCTCACTCTGTGTGCAGATCTGGGGGCATGTGCCCCCCAGGAAGAGCCCGGCACAGCCCTCAAGCCAACAGCCCTCCCACGGTGTGCATAGCAGCAAAAGCCATGCTCCCCCACCCCTGCAGCCCAGCGACTGCAGGCCACTGGCATCAGCCGCTCCCAGATCAGCTGCATCAGAGGCTGAGGTGAGTGGGGCCCTGACCCCATGGCCCTTTCCCCTCCCCCCACAGATTTACCTGCTTGGGGGAGGGGAAAGCGCACCTATGCCGATGGCATAAGAGTGGATTTACCTTGCGTATAACGAATTTTGGGTATAAAATGGGTCATTGCATAAGAACAAATTTGCATATATAGAACCTGCATAAAGCGAAGAAAACCTGTACTGTGTTCAGTTTTGGGGCCCCCACTACAAAAAGGATGTGGACAAATTGGAGTCCAGTGGAGGGCGACAAAAATGGTGAGGGGCCTGGGGGACATGACTTATGAGGAGAGACTGAGGGAACTGAGCTTGTTTAGTCTTGACAAGACTGAGAGGGGACTTAACAGCCTTCAACTACCTAAAGTGGGGTTCGAAAGAGGATGAAGCCAGACTGTTCTCAGTGGTGGCAAATGACAGAACAAGGGGCAATGGTCTCAAGTTGCAGCAAAGGAAGTTTAGGTTAGATATTGGGAAGAATTTTCTTACTAGGATGGTAGTAAAACACTGGAACAGGTTACCCAGAGCAGTGACAGAAGCTCTGTCTTCCGGAGTTTTCAAGACCCGGCTAGACAAAGCTGTGGCTGGGATGATCTAGTTGGGGATGGTCCTGCTTTGAACAGGGGGCTGGACTAGATGACCTCCTGAGCAGAGATGCAGGGCGGAAAGCTTTATTTTTCCATGGGAAGCTTTCCATTTCTAAAAATTCATTGTTTAATAAAATTCATTATTGTAACAATGAATGTGCCAATACAATATCAGGCAAGCTTGGCAGTTTCAAAGTTATAATTAACGTTTTTCAGGTGATTATCCCTAGGAAGTGTGTGAGAGAGTACATAGATGTTTTACTGATTTGTAAACAGGAGGGTAAATACACTCACATAATAATCCAAACCAAAAATCAAGTTATGAATTCACCTAATTGGCTGTGCGGGTCAAATCAAAACCAAATGAACAGACCGCTAAGATTGTTTCTATTTCTCAAAATCTCTTGCTTCTGGAGAATCAGTCAGAAGCACAATTAGTGAAGAAGATGCAGTGTGATGGTAAGTTGCCCGTGCCCACAGACTCACTGGTAAAACCATCCTTTAGTGAAAGAGAATGAGGTTCTAGTAGTTCTGAATCCGATTTGCCTCAGTCGGATTCTGCAATGGGACTAATCAGTAGTGCAAGTGATTCTCCAGATAGTGACAGTGAAACTGGAGGTGGCGCAATGATCTCAGAGGAAGAGAGTTAAACTCTGTTGAAGTAGATGAGTGGACAACCATGGCAGATCATACACAGGTCTTTGGGTGTGTAAAAATTAGTGTGTCAACAGTTTTCAGGGCTTTCGTTTTTTTCTTAAATTTAAATAATGTAAGGGAGGTACATGCTATTGTGTATTGTCTTTATATTTTTACAAGTATGCCAATAAAAATAATTTCTTTCCACATAAAGCTTTGAATTTATTTGAATATAACATTTAAACCACATTAAGTGTGCTGCATTTAATTTTTTTCCGCATATAATATTTCAGTTCAAATACTTGTGGCTCAATTTTGTTTACTAAATATGAGTCAAATAAAAGTGCTACATCAAATCATGCTCTATTTAGGGCAATTCAAAATTTTCTGGAAAACCCACGTCTCTGGTTGTGTGTAGTCACCCATGTTCTAAGCATGCAACCTCCTTGCAAAAAATAAATACAGAGGTTGGTAGAAAATAAGGGATTATACTAGTGAAGTAAGGAACAGCTCATGGAAAAATTATCAGGTTTTGTGCTTATTACTTGGAATTATTGAGACTATTTGTGGTAGTTGAGTTTTACTGGATTTAACTCTAAAACATTAGCTTCTGTGCATTCTTAGTGTCCTTGGAGCCAGGATATTCTGAGGTTAAGGCAAGCCACATCAAAATTATATCCTTCTATCTGAAGCATTTCCCTGAGGATCTGCTGAGGAATCTTGCTGAACAATTTTGATCAATAAACACCATCAGGAAAGACTGTTCTGCTAAGTCATAGCGATAAGTTTTAACGGATCTGGAAAATGGCAAACATGGCTCGGGTTTTCTGGTTTCCAAAAGTTGACTGAATCTGTTCACAGTAAAAGTGATGTCACTGTTAACTTTTGTTTGCCACAAGGGTTAAGAATTGGTCTTTAGGAAAGAAACTAAAAATTAGAGCTGAAAAACAAGACTCAGATTTAACTCTAGGATTCCTGCTGATTTAAATCATGAATAAAACTGTTCCAACCACCAGGCTTCACAACACAACAGCCCCTTCCTAGTTCTGCACTGAAGTGATTCATTTGAAAGCGGGAAAGCATGGGTGGGAGCTAACGTCTTACCACCTGAATCATGTGTTTAGCAAAAAACAATAAACAGTTTCCAGGACTGACCTACCTATTCAGCCAGGCTACCACAGGACAAAATACAGAATGTGCTTCCATTTTTTTTTCAAGATCTTGCTTACTTCTCTTCCAGCCTGTCCTAGGAACTGGGAATAAGTACTACCTGCAGTTCACCACAGAGGACTACAAAACTAGGGTAAGTTTGTAATGCAAGACAGTTTTGCTACATGAAATGCTACACTTATCCTTGAAACTGGACTTACTTCAGTGCTATTATAAGTAGATCCCTGCGGAGGGTTAACTTTGCTCAATGCCTGAAAATGGCAATCATAGCCGAGTCACATTATGCTATAAAGCTTTTAAGTCAAACTTCCCATTGATTTTAAAATGAATGGCACAGTATGACCCTTATTATCCAAATGCATCTCCTGTTGTGTCTACACTCCAAAACGTGAATAATTACTTGACAAATTCATTGAAATTATAACCCATGCTGTACATGTGCTTTACTGGGGACTTCTAATTTGTGATATCACTGTATCCACCTGATTTTCCATTCTATTCAGTTTCTACACAACATAAAATGATTTTCAGAGTTTTAAAATTAATCTCTAAATCTATTTTTTTTTTATAAAGTCCATATTATTATGCAGTGAAAATCCATTCAAGAGACCATCCCCTTATAAACTAAGCTTCTGTCCTGAGATTATTCCAAAGTATTCCTCAGTATGTATTTCTCATGTATGACTGCTCCTCTTTTACTAGAAGACTTGCTCTGCTAATTTTTGCCAGTCTCTCAAAAGGAAACATTATACTTGTTTTGGATACTTAAAGACATGCAAAACCAACCAGAAATACACAGATTTTTGCTTTAACACAAATAAATGACTTTCTAGAAATCTACTGAATTCTGATTATACATTCCATATTCCAGAGATAAATTTGATTGGGATATATGTAACATTTGTTTTTAACATAGTGCATATATGCACAGTAAAAGCTCTGTTATCCGCCATCTCCCGGGAATGGGGAATGCTTGTTAATCAAATATGCCCTGTCTGGTGGACTCCCTGGCGTCAGGGTGCCAGGGGACAGGGAGGGAGGCACTGCGCAGGCTGCTTTGCCCTGGGCCGTGGTCCACAAGGAAGAAGTGAACAAGAAGAACTCTGCTTGCGGCGGGGAAACTGGACATGGGACTTCCAATTTCAATTTTGCCACGTCCCTCGTGACAACTGCTAGTTAGCAGAGTTTTTCGGTTGGTAAAGTGCCAGATAACACGGCTTTTGCTGTATATAAAATATCATGATCTTTTTATCTTTTAAGGAAAATGTTGGGACCTGTCTTGCCATTGTGTTCTACCTAAAGAGGAAACCAACACCTACTGTCAATATAAAATGCACATATACCAAAGATCAGAAGGAAGTACAAGAAGATGACCACAGATTTTACCAAAAAATAAGGCAACAAACCAAACCAATAATTGGAAGCTATATTCCAGGTAACTTCCTTTTAGGATTTCTTTTATTTTTCTATATTCATTTAGGAATTATATTTACTTTTATGTTCAGTTTAGTAACTTTAAAAATACAAGCAAACATACATGTATTTTTTTAAAAATACATATTTATTTGGACTATAACAACTTTAAAAAGGAAGTCCTTTTTTTCCTTCCCTTCCCCCAAAGAATCTGGATTTCCTGAAAAGTCTTGGAAAATGTGTTGTGTTTTGCAGCAAAGATGGAAGGGAACAGAATGAAGCGAAGATGTCTATAGGATTCCAAAGCAAATATATATTTGCAAAATTCTGCATTAAAACAAACATTCATTGGCTGTGTTTAGGGAAGTTGTACCTTAGCAGCAAATGTCTTAATCCACTGAGGTTCCTTCAGATAGAGGAATCTCATGTGGATTAAGACATTTGCTGCTTATCACTTCACCACTTTCATAACGTTTGGGTGGGGGTCCAGTGGGCAAACGAGAGTTACTAATCTGTTTCACTAGGGTGAGTACATGCTAACTGGACTTTTACAACCACAGTTAATTTATCATTTGCTCATTACCCTCCCCAGTCAATACTGCAAAAGTGTTTGAAGAAACAGATACTTCCCAGGAATACCCTGTGGCAGGACCAAAGTATTTTACAGTTTACTGTTTGTCTATGAGAAAGCCAAATTATTACATCTGTGTATGTCCCCCCATCCCCCTTCTATTTTTAGACAGCTATGGAAATATTGAACCGGCCTTTGAGTCAGCATGGGCCTTGGCTGTTGTTGGCAGTAGTTACATAATGTGGGAAAAGTCAACAGAGAACTTGGGTTACTTCATGGCACAAGTCAAGCATGTGAAACAGTGGGTAAGTGAAGCTGAAATTAAATCTGCATTAGGAAGGCAAAGGCAACATTTAACAGTAAGTAACAAACAATAAAAGATACAATAGCAATCAACAGTTCATAGTTCCTATCCATGTCTGATCTGAATACTAAATCTGATAGTATCACTGTCTGATACTAAATTGTGGGGTGAAGTGCACACTTTGGAGGGCAGGGAATGATTGCAGGCAGACCTGGACAGGTTAGAAAAGTGAGCAATATGCAACAGGATGTAGTACAACAAGGACAAATGCAGATTGCTGCACCTAGGGTCCAAAAATATCCAGCACACCTACTGGCTGGAAAGTGACCTTCTCAGCAGCACAGAAGCAGAAAGGGATCTCGGAGTCACAGTGGACTCCAAGATGAATATGAATCGTCAATGTGACAAAATCATCAGCAAAGCTAACTGCACGTTTTCATGCATCAGCAGATGCACGACAAATAGATCCAAGGAGATGATACTTCCCCTCTTTGCGGCATTGCTCAGACCATAG